TTTAGGACCATAGGAGCGTGAGGACAGGGGGTTCAGCTCAATCTGCTTTTGGTATAGGTGACAGATATATACTGATATATACGATCATCTTGGTTCTCCACCCTGAGAATCGTGGGTAAAGTATGAAGTTGTAATGTCTGCAAATGTAACTCGATCAAACTTCATAGCATTGAAACATTGCATTTTATTAAGATTGTTCCCTATGCAGAAGCCACCAATGATGAAATCTGCAGCATGCTATGGGGTGGCTCGGTCCTGTCATGCAGGCTGTTGGAAGACCTGGTGCAGAAGTAGTCTCCAACAGAGGGTGCACGACCTGGATCTGATACGAGTCAAGAACCAGCCACTCTGTAATCACACACACAGGCAGAGCAAGAGGCTGGAATATAACAGGACACACATGTAGCCAGAACCTCCCACAGCGTCCAAACTGTCACCAACACTGATGTAACCAAACCCTCCAGCACATGAGTCTCTCCTCCCCCCCCACAGACATCTACCCACCCTCCATATTTCACATCCCAGCTGATGTGGGGCCTGACAAGGAGCTGACTGATTGGCTGAAGGTGCTGGGTGTGGATGCAGACACCATAGAGAAGGCAAGTATGCTAGAGCGGCCTGCTGGGATGCAGCCTGGGCGTGAGGCAGCGTGGGAGGCCTTCTGGAGAACCAGGAGCGCTACTCGCACCGTGGGCCAGCGTGCAGCAGGTGGTGCAATGATTAGTGCACTGGATCTACAGTCAGGAGGATAAGGTTCATGCTCAAAAGGTCAGGCCTCTATCCACTGACAGACTGTAAGTCCACTGTGGTGTCTGTAGCATTTTTTGTTTATTCTGTATGGTTGATGCTCTCTGCTACCTAGTGGGGAGAGGGCTCCTTAGACAGCACCACCTAGTGGACAGACCAATGCAGTTCTACCCTGGATGAACGACATGTGCCTTCTTTGTATTAACTGTTTGTCTCTGCAGTTTCCTTTCAGCTCTGTTTCAAGTCATAATACTGTTTACACATTACTGTT